ATAATATTTTCGGTGATGTTCGTAGATGCTATTCGAACGGGTCCTTTTCAATTCATGTCAACGTTTCGTGTAGAGGTTATTATGTCAGCAATAGTGTCCCTACCCATGATAAACTAAAATTTTGTTACGCCTCAATTTGATATAATCAACATATTTTTTTAATGCACTTAAATAATATTTTTTTACAAATACTATAACTATATGATGATCTCATCTTAATTGTTTTATTTCAGCTTAGAATACTCGTTCTTATAATACTTCAGGCGCTACTGAAACTATTTTAGTAAAATTTAACTGTCTCAACTCTCGTGCGATCGCACCAAAAATTCGAGTTCCCTTTGGATTTTACTAAAGGTGAATTTGGTATTGCTTCTTTGATAACAACAACGATAACGTCACCAACACTACAAAAAAGAATAGGTTTGGGGACTAGTATTTGGGGACAACTACCATATGTTGTCTTCGCAAATATATTTTTAAGTACTATCAGGGACAAAACATATAAATTGTCCCCGTTGAATAACAAATGCAAATTTATTAATTTCGGATTCTGATTAGTTGTCCCCAAAAATGAAAGTTTGGGAAAAGAGATGTAAAACTCAAACGAGATTTGGGGGAAATATTTTCTTCACTATATATAATCTTTTTCCCTCGAATTAGCTATTAAGATTGGCAAATTATCTCTTTTAACTAAACTTTCTCCATTTTTTCCTCCGAATTTTGTTTTTTGTTTACACCTTGAAAATTTTTTACTTGGCTTTTTGTTTATGTACTTTTTGGACCCTCGGATATTTTTATAGGCTTTCTTCAAATCTATACTCCAAAGTATTGATGCTTACAAGTACAAGTCGAATTTGTAGAATAATGTTAAAATTACAAGTTTAGTTTGTACCATAAAGGAACCATACAAGAATGTATAGATACAAACTAAACTTGTACCATGATGTTTACAAGTTCAGTTTGTACCATAAAGTATTTGTACGAAAAGGAATAGGAACAAATGAATTAAAAAAAACGTGATTTTGATTGAATTCAAAATAGATAATTCTTGGTGCTCTAAATACGTAATTCTCTACAAATAGACGCTCTCACGATCTTGCTCTCTGTTCCAAGCTCCCACTCTCACTCCACGAATCGGTTCCTAAATCCCTACCCCCTTCGAAATAGTAGATAGTGTTCATATTTTGGTCTAGATCACTCCGCCCCTTACCATCCCTACTTTTTCTATATCCAGCCTAATATACAAGTTATACCCAACAATTCAAATCTTTACCATGATCAACAAATGATTTAATTCCTTACTAATCTTATAGCTATGATTGTATTAGGAACGAAAGAGAAGACATTGACATATGTTATTTTTAATTCATTCAAAATGAGAAGACAAATAATAAAGGTAATCCGAAAAAGCTAAAAGTTTCAAAAAGGAGAATAAGTTCGCATCCCGTCAATAACGGAAAATTCTTAGCTTCAACCTTGGTTGTACGCAAAAGCTCCAACCAGTCACGTGTTAGTTTTCTATTGGTGATTTTATCATTTTTTTATATTTTAGTTCTTGATTTACTTAGCATAATTAAATATTAAGAAAAAAGGAAGGTGAATCCACCAATACTATATACATCTTAATTAACTCATATATATTTATATTTTTCGTTTAACCATAATTATCGTATATATTTACCATCCCTTAACTATCATCTTCCATCCACGACTCTTATTTCATTCCCCTCTTTTCCTTAGGGTTTTCCGCCCGCCGCTTCAATCTTCTCTTCTCCCACGTCGTCGTCTCAAATTAGAATTGCACATAAAGGCTTTGCGGCAGTGGTATCATGCGCTGCTTCCGATCAATTTCTTTGGGGGGTTTATTAACATCGTCCATCAATCTATGCACGACGATCTAAGTGGGAGTCATTAGGCGTCCAACCAGCTTTCGGCGAAGAGGAAGTGGCAGAGCGATTGTACAAAGCACAATTTTCTCTTCTTGTATAAAAATCTGACGTCAATTAATTGCAGGGGATGCCGCGTTCTTCGTCCTTGTTATCGGCTATGATTTCTCGTAACAGATCGATCAATTGCACTCTCTGCGCTACCGTCCTGATTTTTCACCATGTAAGTCATTAGGTTCCTAAATATGCTTTCGTAATTACTTCAAACAATTCTCTTCTTAATTACTTAGGTTTCTGCTCCTTTTATTTTTGTTTTCGTTTCATGGGCTAATTATCTCCTGATAAAGATGAATGAATTTCTTTGTTTTGCTACCATTACAGGCGCAATCTACTCCAAACCTGGGTGATCAAGAATTCTTGAAGGAATTTTTGAATTGATGCAATTCTTATTTATTTCATTGTCCAATGTACGATAGTAATTTTCTGTATTTAATACTTAATAATTACTTATTTCTATTTATATTTTACTATTTACTTTTATCTTCAGAAGAATGTTGGTAATTGTCGATATTCTTTCTGCAATCAAATGATCCCCAAAGACATCGTTTAAGCCGCACCTGGCCTCCCCTAGAATGTATGTAGATGACATTTCAACATTTCTGATGATACCACTTAAGGAACAATTAGTCGTTCCCAAAATATGCATAAGTGGACAATTCCTCGTCCCCCAATACACAAGTTAAGGGACAATTGTTCGTCCCTAATTAAAATTTATTGGTGACAGCTGGTCGTCTCTAAAGATATAGTAGAAGAGATAACTCGTAGTCATTGATAACCTTTTTTGGCACGATTTTTGGACTCCAATTTAGTACATATAGGAACGACTTGTCGACCCTATGAAAAGTAAAAGGGACGATATATCATCCCCATATAGTCCCAAGACAATCATAAAATCGATTATGTGGGACAACAGTTTGTCCCTAAAAATGATGTTTGGGGGACGAGTTATTGTCGCTAAAATTATAGCTATAGGGACGACATGTTGTCTTTCATGAAAAAGAAACTACACGACGACTTGCATGTATCGGGGACGACCTAGATTTTTGTCGCCCCCAAACGAATAGAGGACAAGAGTATAGGGAACCACACCTTGGGGACGACTTAATCGTCCCCAAAAACTATAGGGACGATTTTCCTTATTTCCGGAGACAACTTTTGTCGTCCCCAAACCTTCTCTTTTTTGTAGTGCAATATGAGCATATCGTCGATTACTAGTCCCTATGATTCGTATGCACATCAATTCTCGGGCTCCACTATTATCTGCTACATTCAAACGGGTTTGCGGTTGAATCATATCATTTTTTAATCTGTTATTTCAGTGCAAACGAAAAAAAAAGAAATATTGGTTGTTCAAAACAAAAAAATAAACTTACGATTTTTTCATTCCAAAGGCCTTTCTTTCCTTTGGGTTTCCTTTTCTATCCCGAAAAAATAAATTGAGTTCGTATCGGCATTTTGGACGCTGCGATTGAAATAGCTTTTCGGGCTATATTTTCTCCTACTCCGCCCATTTCATAAAGTATTCTGCCCGGTTTAACGACAGCTACCCAATATTCGGGAGATCCCTTCCCTGAACCCATACGTGTTTCTGTAGGTCTTAGGGTAACGGGTTTGTCGGGAAATATACGTACCCATATTTTTCCACCGCGCCGTGCGTTTCTTGTCATTGCACGTCGGCCTGCTTCTATTTGTCTAGATGTAATCCAAGTGGGTTCAAGTGCTTGGAGAGCATATCTACCGAAACAAATACGATTGCCTCGATAAGACATTCCTTTCATTCTTCCTCTATGTTGTTTACGGAATCTGGTTCTTTTAGGGTTCTAGTTGATGGGTGTTTTTCAATTCCATCTCTAGTCCAAAACTGGACATGAGAGTTTCTTCTCATCCAGCTCCTCGCGAATGAAATGCTTAAAAAATGGGATTGGTAAATAATATAATATACAGAATTATTTCTTTTATTAAAAAAATGAAAACGTTGTGTATTTAGTATAAACTTGTATTGTATATTTTTTTTTCTATTTCTATATAACCATCTATTCAATTTATATTCTCGATTTATTTTCTAGAGAATTTTTTGTATTTTAAGGTAGTTTTAGATAATGCCATTTTTGTTGGAATGTTCTAACGAATCTTAGTATTATTATTAATAATATGATATCAGATTGCTTCAAATTCCGAAATTCAATAATATCAAAATAAAAAAATCTTCGCGGGCGAATATTCACTCGTTCAATATTTACTTCATTTGTAGAGTTAATCCCTGACGCCGCCAAATAAATGAATTGTCTCTTGGTTCTTTCGCCATCCTGCCTAAAAAATCATTAAGATTTACAATCTTATGTATTCCCAGGTTCCGTCGTTCCCATCACTTCTCTATTAATGGTTAGGTCTTAATTCTACAATGGAGACTCTAAAAAATGAAAAAATTTTAATAGAATTTGTTCTTGACTCAATTTTCTCAATTTTTATTGGATCGAGGCTCTTGATTTTTTTTATTCTAGAAACGGATTAATTTAATTATAGATCAATCGTTATTGATGCTTTATTACATTGGCTTTTAACTTTTATGAGACGACTCATAAACCTTACATATTGGAATCATATATCATTGCTATTCGTTTTCTCTTTTTCTCTCACCCTTCCATTTATCCGCATAATTTTCTATTTTTGCTTTACAATTCAAAATTCAATTTGTTTTTTATGCAAAAAAAGCTTTTCAGTACTACTTTTATATCATAAATCGAAATCTATCATATCTTGGCTGTTTCTTTCCATCCGGATAATGTGAAGTGATGAATTGCTTATTAGTTTTCTAGTTATTAGTTCATATCATAAATATCATAACATAATAAGGGTCAACTCTTTTTTTCATAAAAAACTAACGAGTCACACACTAAGCATAGCAATTATAATTAGATCAACTTAGAAATCAATTTTTTTTTATTCAACCTTATAAAATTGCTCCTTTTTTGCTATGATTCAATGAAACATTTTATCATTTTTTTCTATCAATATATAGGTATAGAATGCAAAGACAAATTAACTAAGGGTTTACTAGTCCTCGTCGATAAATATCCAAATTTTTATACCTAATACCCCATAAATAGTTCTAACTGTATAGGAACAATAATCAATTTTAGCTCGAATGGTTTGTAAAGGGACCCTACCCTCTCTAATCCATTCAACGCGTGCAATCTCTTTTCCGTCAAGACGCCCCCCAATTTGTATTTGAATTCCTTTTGTATCTGTCTGTTCTGTTAATTCAATAGCTTTTTTCATTGCTTTGCGAAATGAAACTCTATTTTTTAATTGTTCGGCTATAAATTCTGCAAGAATATTAGGGTGCCTGTAAGGATTTCCGATTCTTGTAATAGTAATGTTGATCTTTTGGTTCACACAATTCAGTTCTTTTTGGATATTCCTTTGTAATTCTTCGAGTTTTTTAGGTTTACCCTCTATTAATAATTTTGGAAATCCCATATATATTATGACCTGAATCACGTCGATTCGTTTTTGAATCTCTATACGTGAAATTCCCTCAACACCAGAAAAAATTTTCATATTTTTTTGTACATAATTCTTGATACAGTTTCTTATTTTTTGATCTTCTTGTAGACCTTCAGAATAATTTTTTGGTTGTGCAAACCAAAGAGAATGATGACCTTGAGTTGTACCAAGTCTAAACCCAAGTGGATTTATTTTTTGTCCCATAATCCCTCACTATATATACGAATCATGAAATGTTTTTTTTACCCACCCGCTTTATTAAGCATAAATTTTTTTTTCTGTTTTTTCTTCATTACAATAAGATTATAATAGTTTTCTAACTCGCCCCTGTTATATTTTTCATAGAAAGATTTGTCTGTCAATTCAATACGTATATGACAACTTGGCCTTTTTATCGCATAACTCCGTCCTCGAGCCCGAGCTTTTAGTTTTTTTACAGTACTACCCTCATTGACTTCGGCTTTAGTAATAACTAAATCGTCTTTCTTAAAATCCTTATTGTGATTACCATTTGCTGCGGCAGAATAAAGTACTTTCAAAATGGGAAAACATGCTCGATAAGGCATGAGCTCGAGTATCATAAGTGTTTCCTCGTAGGAACGCCCGCGAATCTGATCAATCACCCTTCGCGCTTTGTGAGCTGACATAGATATATGTTGCCCTAAAGCGCGCACGTCTGCATCTATGTAGCTATACCTATACATAGCTCGAGTTCGTTGATATCTTATTTTTATAAAGCAAATCGTCTTCGATTCTTGAATATCTACATCACTTCTATTTCTATTGTAACAAAAGATTCCCTTTTTATGTAGGAAAGCCGGGTCATTTCGGGACGAGCGGGTCATTTATGATGACGAGGATGAGCTTTAAGAGAATGATTCGCCCCGTATCAAGAATTGTGATTTTGCATATGGATAATTCCTCAATATCTTTTCTTTGTGCGGCGGTAAAAAAAACATGCCTTTTTGGAGAGAGATACTATTTCACCAATCGAGTCACACGTATTTAACATATTCATACCTAATGATTTTCCACAAAGTGGTGACGAAAGGTCTAACTTGTACAAATCTTTCCATTTTCCAATTCGATCCAACCCGTTCGTTCGTAGAGCTATTTATTCGATTGCAGACATTTCTGGAACACCTTTAACAGAGGGACAAATAGTTAATTTTGAAAGAACTTATTGTAAACCTCTTTCGCATATGAATCTATCTGATTCAGAAGGGGAGAACTTGCATCAGTATCTCAATTTCAATTCAAACATGGGTTTGATTCAGACTCCATGTTTTGAGAAATATTTACCATCCGAAAAGAGGAAAAAACGGCATATTTGTCTAACGAAATGCGTTGAAAAAGGGAAGATGTATAAAATCTTTGAACGTGATAGTGTTTTTTTCAACTCTCTCAGAATGGAACCTATTCCAAACATGTATGCCATGGTTCCTTACTTCGACAGGGTACAAATATCAATATTTGATATTTTTAGATACCTTTTCAGACCTATTACAGATACTAAGTAGCAGTCAAAAATTTGTATCCATTTTTCATGATATTATGCATGGATCAGATATATCATGGCGAATTCTTCAGAAAAAATTGCGTCTTCCACAATGGAATCTGATAAGTGAGATTTCGAGTAAGTGTTTACATAATCTTCTTCTGTCCGAATAAATGATTCATCAAAATAATGAGCCACCATTGATATCGACACATCTGAGATCGCCAAATGTTCGGGAGTTCGTCTATTCTACCCTTTTCCTTCTTCTTGTTGCTGGATATCTCGTTCGTACACATCTTTTCTTTGTTTCCCAAGCCTATAGTGAGTTACAGACAGAGTTCAAAAAGGTCAAATCCTTGATAATTCTACCATACATGATTGAGTTACGAAAACTTCTGGATAGGTATCCTACAACTGGATTGAATTCTTTCTGGTTAAAGAATCTCTTTTTAGTTGCTCTGGAACAATTAGGAGATTTTCAATAAGAAATACGGGCTTCTGGCGGCAACAGGCTATGGGGTGGTGGTCCCTCTTATGGGGTCAAATCAATACGTTCTAAGAAGCAATTTCGGAATATCAATCTCATCGATCTCATAAGTATCATACCAAATCCATCAATCGAATCACTTTTTTGAGAAATACAAGACATCTAAGTCATACAAGTAAAGAGATTTATTCATTAATAAGAAAAAGATGTAATGAATTATGAGTCAATACACCTTAGTTAGCGGAAAGACGGATATTCCTTGCTCATTATCAGACCATCACTTATTCACAAATGTCGTGTGGGGCGAATAGTATTCAATTCCCATCTCATGGAAAACTCTTTTCGATCCGCTTAGCCCTATCCCCCTATAGTGGTATTTTATTGATAGGTTCTATAGGAGCTGGACGATACTATTTGGTCAAATACGTAGCGACAAACTCCTATGTTCCATTCATTATAGTATTTCTGAACAAGTTCGTGGATAACAAGCCTAAGGATTTTCTTATTGATAATAGTGACGATATTGATGATAGTGACAATATTGATGATAGTGACGATATTGATGCTAGTGACGATATCGACCTTGATACGGAGCTGGAGCTTCTAACTAGGATGAATGCGCTAACTACGGATATGATACCGGAAATTGACCGATTTTATATCACCCTTCAATTCGAATTAGCAAAAGCAATGTCTCCTTGCATAATATGGATTCCAAACATTCAAGATCTGGATGTGAATGAGTCGAATTACTTATCCCTAGGTCTATTAGTGAACTATCTCTCTTGGGATTGTGAAAGATGTTCCACTAGAAATATTCTTGTTATTGCTTCGACTCAAATTCCCCAAAAAGTAAATCACGCTCTAATAGCTCTGAATAAATTAAATACATGCATTAAGATACGAAGGCTTCTTATTTCACAACACCGAAAGTACTTTTTCACTCTTTCATATACTAGGGGATTTCACTTGGAAAAGAAAATGCTCCATACTAAGGGATTTGGGTCCATAGTCATGGGTTCCAATGTAGGAGATCTTATAGCACTTACCAATGAGGCCCTATCGATTAGTATTACATAGAAGAAATCAATGCTAGACACTAATATAATTCGATCTGCTCTTCATAGACAAACTTGGGATTTGCGATCCCAGGTAAGATCGGTTCGAGATCATGGGATCCTTTTCTTCAGATAGGAAGGGCTGTTGCACAAAATGTATTTCTAAGTAATTGCCCCATAGATCCTAGATCGATCTATATGAAAAAAAAATCATGTAACGAAGGGGATTCTTATTTGTACAAATGCTACTTTGAAATTTGAACGAGCATGAAGAAATTAACGATACTTCTTTATCTTTTGAGTTGGCTGCCGGACCGGTTGCTCAAGACCTTTGGTCTCTACCCAGACCAGATGAAAAAAATGGAATCACTTATTATGGGCTTGTTGAGAATGATTCTGATCTAATTTATGGCCTATTAGAACTAGAAGGCGCTCTGGTGGGATCCTCACTAACAGAAAAAGGATGCAGTCAGTTTGATAATGATCGAGTGACATTGCTTATTTGGCCCGAACCAAGGAGTCCCTTAGATATGATGAAAAATGGATCTTGTTCTATCCTTGATGAGAGATAAATATATGAAAAATACGAATCGAAGTTTGAAGAAGGGGAAGAAGAAGGAACCCTCGACCCGCAACAGATAGAGGAGGATTTATTCAATCACATAGTTTGGGCTCCTAGAATATGGCGCCTTTCTATTTGATTGTATCGAAAGGCCCAATGAATTAGGATTTCCCTATTGGGCCGGGTCATTTTGGGATCATTTATGATGAAGAGGATGAGCTTCAAGAGAATGATTCGGAGTTCTTGGAGAGTGGAACCATGCAATATTAGATACGAGATAGATCTTCCAAAGAACAGGGCATTTTTCGAATAAACCAATTCATTTGGGATCCTGCAGATCCACTTTTTTTCCTATTCAAAGATCAGCCCTTTGTCTCTGTGTTTTCACATCGGGAATTCTTTGCAGATGAAGAGATGTCAAAGGGGCTTCTTACTTCCCAAACATACCCTCATACATCTATATATAAACGCTAGTTTATCAAGAATATGCAATAAAAGCACTTCGAGTTCTTGATATATCGCCAGAGATGGCTTAGAACCAATAGTTCATTATCTAATCGATGTTTCCGCTCGAATACTGTATCCGAGAGTTATCAATATTTATCAAATCTGTTCCTATCTAATGGAACGCTATTGGATCAAATGACAAAGGCATTGTGGAGAAAAAGATGGCTTTTCCCGGATGAAATGAAAATTGGATTCATGGAATAGGAGAAAGGTTTCCCATTCCTTAGCCTAAAAGATATATGGCCATGAAATAGGGATTAAGTGGAACCAAATTGATTGGGTGGTAGAGTCGTGGAAACACCTGTTTCTTCCATATTTTGGACATGAAACAATATGTTCCTGCTGAAACTTGGAAGAATGGAAATCTTAGATCAAAACACTATGTATGGATGGTATGAACTGCCTAAACAAGAATTCTTGAACAGCGAGCAACCAGAGTTATTACCCACTACATAAAAAAAAATTCATTAATGAAAGCTGGAAATCCATCGGAAAATAAAAAAGACGTATGTCGGATGAAATGGTGGTTGTTGCTATTTGCTCCAATAACGAATCATTGGCATTGGTTTAACTGAATAACTAAATAAAATAGATAGACCCTTCTCTTTGTCTCAGATCGATGGATCTTCTCAATCGGAATATCCCTATATGGATAATACGCATTCTAGTTGACCGTAGGTGAGTCCTGTAAAAGAGACCCTTTGACTGCCCATGCCTAAATATAGATACTGGGATTTAGCTTAGTAATGTTTCTCAACTGATTTAGAATAGAGTAACAGTATAAGAGTAATAGTAATATGTTCTATGTAAACCATAAAGTTCCGTCTAGGAAGTTTTAATTAAGATAGGCGTCTAGTAGGTTGCACAAAAAATGGGTTTTTCTTCAATTCAAAGCCCGGGATGTCCGTTGAGCACCTCGCGAATATGTCATAATAGATCCGAACACTTGCCTTGGATAGACTTCCAATCCAGATCATAATTGTTCTAGTGAATAACTAAAAAAACTAGATACTCGATAAATGGGAGATAGAAAAGTATAAAACGAACTAGAAACCTCTCTCATATGGCAGGTCTCTTTGTATGTGTTGTCCGGAAAGAGGAGGACTCCATGATTATTCGTTCGCCGGAACCAGAAGTCAAAATTTTGGTAGATAGGGATCCCGTCAAAACTTCTTTTGAGGAATGGGCCAGACCTGGTCATTTCTCAAGAACAATAGCTAAAGGACCTGATACTACTACTTGGATCTGGAACCTACATGCTGATGCTCACGATTTCGATAGCCATACCAGTGATTTGGAGGAGATTTCTCGAAAAGTATTTAGTGCTCATTTCGGCCAACTCTCCATCATCTTTCTTTGGCTGAGTGGCATGTATTTTCACGGTGCTCGTTTTTCCAATTATGAAGCATGGCTAAGTGATCCTACTCACATTGGACCTAGCGCCCAAGTGGTTTGGCCAATAGTGGGTCAAGAAATATTAAATGGTGATGTGGGTGGAGGTTTCCGAGGAATCCAAATAACCTCGGGTTTTTTCCAGATTTGGAGAGCTTCGGGAATAACTAGTGAATTACAACTTTAATTGTTACCGCAATTGGTGCATTGGTATTTGCAGCCTTAATGCTTTTTGCTGGTTGGTTCCATTATCACAAAGCTGCTCCAAAATTGGCTTGGTTCCAAGATGTAGAATCTATGTTGAATCACCATTTAGCAGGACTACTAGGACTTGGGTCTCTTTCTTGGGCGGGGCATCAAGTACATGTATCTTTACCAATTAACCAATTTCTAAATGCTGGAGTAGATCCTAAAGAGATCCCACTTCCTCATGAATTTATCTTGAACCGGGATCTTTTGGCTCAACTGTATCCCAGTTTTGCTGAGGGAGCAACTCCCTTTTTCACCTTGAATTGGTCAAAATATTCGGAATTTCTTACTTTTCGTGGAGGATTAGATCCAGTAACTGGGGGTCTATGGCTAACCGATATTGCACACCATCATTTAGCTATTGCAATTCTTTTCCTTATTGCAGGTCACATGTATAGGACTAACTGGGGCATTGGTCACGGTATAAAAGATATTTTAGAGTCTCATAAAGGTCCATTTACAGGCCAGGGCCATAAAGGCCTATATGAGATCCTAACAACGTCATGGCATGCTCAATTATCTCTTAACCTAGCTATGTTAGGTTCTTTAACCATTGTTGTAGCTCACCATATGTATTCCATGCCCCCTTATCCATATCTAGCTACTAGGGATGGCAATTTTGCCCATACCCATGGGTTTTTTCATACCCAACCCTGGGTATGAAATCCAAATAGATGGATATGGGTAGAAGTTGATGTGTTTGTACCCATCCCATTTACTTTGGGTTGGGTTGGGTTTATAACAAATGGATTTTGGTTTGTACCCATGCCCAAATACAAATTACAGTTTGGTACCTAAACTAAATAGATATGCATATTTAGTACCTATTTTTGCATATAAGTCCTCAAAATATGGATGGAAAATTACGTTTTGGTACCTATTTTTTTTTGTCTTACATTTTAGTACCTAAAATTTTCAAGTTTTACAAATAGGTCCAATTTTTGCATGTGTAGTTAAAACACCCTCAAGTAAATGGATATCCATATCCAACCCATACCCATTTAGATTATGGAAGCAATATTCATAAATTACCCAAACCCATCTACAAACCCCCCAAACCCATATGCACTTCACTCATACCCAACCCATTATCAATGGATCTACTTGGGTTTGGGTATAATTAGCCATGGGTGGGTAATTGCCATCCCTAATAGCTACTAACTATGGTACACAACTGTCATTGTTCACGCATCACATGTGGATTGGTGGATTTCTCATAGTTGGTGCTGCTGCGCATGCAGCCATTTTTATGGTAAGAGACTATGATCCAACTACTCGGTATAACGATCTATTAGACCGTGTCCTTAGGCATCGCGATGCAATTATATCACATCTCAACTGGGTATGTATATTTTTAGGCTTTCACAGCTTTGGAAGGCATCACCATGTATATCCCAGTAAACACTAACAAGTGAAATAACATGCCAAGTGAACATAGAGCGCATTGCGCTTAGAAAGACAGAATAACGTCTCACAATAGATTGTGAACCGCTTAACAAGTGGGACAACATGTCGGCCCATCACGACAACCGTCAAAGAAGATGTGCCTTGCTTAACAAGAGGAAGTAAAAAGCGGCCACACTTTATTTGAAAAATTGCGTCACAATAAAAAAAATAATGAGGACACATAAAACGTCCATAACATGGAGAGTACATAATATTAGATATAAGAAGTTTGAAGGACAGATCAAGCAATTCTGACAATAAACGAAGAGTATTGCAACAACACAAAGGAAAAAAAAGCCAACACTTAACATCCTCCGCCCCTTAGACAAGTGCAGAAACAACGTGTAACACATTTAATTTAAGTATTATGTAAAAAATATCTATCATTCCATAATCCGTAAGTTATATATTCGTATATACCTTGCGTAATAGTTGTAAAATATCATCATTTATTTGTATTTTATCCATTTTTATAGATAATAATCATTCAAAAATATCAAAATCATCTAAAAATCTAGTTATTGTACGAGGTGCTCAATCTTAATAATGTGAAAGAATAATTAAATTATAACTCACACCCAAAAATTTGAAGAAAAATTGTATCCCAACGTTAAAAACATGGTTTCATATGTACTATCATCTATACATACATATATTCATATCCGGCGACCGGCAAAGCCGAACGATACCATCCAGCTGCAAATTTGAACATTTAGATCATTGATTAATCAAGAGTTTGACAATTGTGCGTTATTACGAGGCTGTCAACACAAGCTTGATTATTGGTCATTTTCTATAAACCACCGTTTAGTTCCCGCCTTGTTGCCTTTATAATAAACCCCATGGACCGATCAAATTAATTAAACCATAAACATGTCTCAAAACATTTTCCTCCTTTCTCTCCTTGTTTCTCTCTCCGCCGCCGTCGCACAAGTGATCAACTTCACCGCCATCAATACCACTCCGGAAACAGCCGGCGGTGCCATCTTCACGCGCCAAGTCGGCACCAACTACACCTGCCACGTCATGTCCAACGCCACCAATTTCATATGGACGAGTGTCTTCGGCGAGACCACCAACGGCAGCCGGAGAGACTTCTCCAACGTGACGTTGCTGGTGAAGGACATGGACGGCGTGGCGTACACCTCAGACAACGAGATCAGCCTCAGCGCCCAATACGTCGGGAACTACTCCGACGGCGGCAATGACGTCAGGCGTGAGGTGGCTGGAGTGGTGTATCACGAGATGACGCACGTGTGGCAGTGGATGGGTGGCGGGCAAGGGGACATTGCCCCGGGTGGATTGATTGAAGGGATTGCGGATTTCGTTAGGTTGAGAGCCGGTTTGGCCCCGCCGCCGGGTCGTTGGGTCAAACCGGGGGAGGGCGATAAGTGGGACCAAGGCTACGACGTTACGGCTATGTTTTTGGATTATTGCGACGGATTGAGGAACGATGGGTTCGTGGCCAAGCTTAATAAGAAGTTGAGAGATGGTTATAACGTAACTTTTTTCAAGGAGTTGCTTGGGAAGAGCGTGGATGAGCTTTGGAAGGACTACAAGGCTAAGTACGGAAAGTGAACAAAACAAGTCCTTATTAATAAGGGGGTGATGGGCTTTCACTAATATGCTTTGTAAATGGTTAATCCTGATGATTTTACTTCAGTCTGTGTGTTCATGCAAGAATTAGAATAATGATTGGTCCTGGTTATCAACTGTTAATAATATAATTTGAAAAATGATATGGGACAAAATCTTATACTACGAATCTCATATCTATTCTTTTATTTTAATCATATATAACGACCCAAAATTCATTAGAAAACAAGTAGGAGAGAACTTGTAATTTCGCACCCTCTATTTTTTACTTTGACACAAAATTCAAAAGAAAGAGGGAAATTTTTCATTTTCTTAATCGGGTCATATTCTTTTTTTTATAAGGGTGATATAGGTTTCATTTTGTTGCAATTAAGGTATTACTTAATGGATTCGAACCTGGGACCTCCAGGTTCTAGGATAGTGGTATTACCACTAGGATAGTCATATTTACTTTCTTTTAACTCATAAATTACAAAATTTGCATATAAAGAACGTGTTAATTAATATCTGTACAATAATATCCATTTTGTTATCTTTTGAGAAAATAAAAAATCTTGATACAAGTGTTTATGGTAGTATTATCCACCGGTGGATCAAGGACAGGGTAGAGCACTGAGCCACATTTGAAAAAAGGCGAAAAGGGTTTGGCGGTAACGCGACAAACACTAAAACGAATACAAAAAATTGAAAATTACAAGTGCTATACTAGCTCAGTAGCTCGGGATCTAGAGGAGGGCTGGACAGTTACCCAGGGCGGCCCCTGGATCTGCCGCTAGTATTATCAGAGCATATGGTCACGATATAATATTGATATAATGACAGATCTATTTTATCTTAACTCAATATTTCAAATATTTTGCACAGAAGAAGTCATTAATTATGAGTTACACAATAATATTCCGTTTTTATATTTTGATAAATAAGAAAATTAAAAATAAAAACACGAGTTTATTATATAATCTTATGATTATCAAATGGGGAGAAGCTAGGGTGCTAACTCCATAGGGGGTTAGTACCATCCTAACTAACATCTAAATCGTTGATCCTTATTTTAAATCTGATGGTTACAAATAGAGAAAGAACATAATAAGGATAGAAGCACAAAAACAATAAATTTTGAATGTAATTTCGTGATAAGGACCGCAATTTGTGGGTTCCTTTGACAGACGGTTTATATTTCTGACTGAGCGAGAGGATTTATTCTCCATTTTTTATGATTTGGAGATCTTCAACTGAGAGGGTGTTTGCGGGGTGAGGTATTATATCGCCGACGAGGTCTGAAACTCTTGTAAAGGCTACCACCAGACACCACAAAAAATCTGACCTTTAGCGACGAAAATTGGGGCACGGAAGAAATTTCGTCACTGAAGGTAAGGCTATTGACGGAAAGTTTGTCGCTGAAAATGCGAATGATATAGCGATGAACAAACTTCGTCGCAAAACAGGTTCAGTATTTGGCAACGACTGTTCCATCGCCCAAGAAGGATAAAATGACGTCTTTTTTGGTTTGCTGTTTAGAATCACTCCTAATGATATATTTGAAAACAAAATAATAAATTTGGAATGTAATTCTAGTTTTCATAATAAAGACCGCAATTTGTGGGTTCCTTTGACAGGCTGTTTATATATTTTTTTTCTGGGGGAGAGGGTTTACTCCATTTTTTGTGATTTGGAGATATTCAACCGAGAGGGTGTTTGCGGGGCGAGGTATTATATTGCCGGCGAGGTATGAAACTCTAGAAAAGGGTACCACCAGAATCACTACTAATGATATATTTGAAAAATACTACTAGGTCATGCAAAATCTGGACAACACTACCAAAATACCAATAAAAACACTACCACCGAAGATTTGAAGAACACTACTACTTGCAGAATCACTACTAATGCTAATCTGAAGAACACTACGAGGACTTCTAAAGATTGTAGAACACTACCAAAATAATTTTCGAACAATAAAAAACATGCACTACCATTGTAAATCTGAAGAACACTGCCACAACGAGCAAAAATAGAGAACACCGCTTACATATTTCATTCCCAAAAATTACAAAATACTAAAGTATAGCTGAAAAACACTACTAGGATGTTCAAAACCACCCCAAACCGATGAGCTTCCGGGAGAATCGACAACGACGAAAATCATTAACACAAACCCAAAACAAGAGACTGCATGCAACTGCACCGTTGAACAAATGGTGAGATGGGTAACACACGAAAACCACATCATACCTAGAAGGTTCAACTGTGGCGAAGGGGCAGAAGAAATATAGGTCGAAAGAAGAGGACGACTGCATAATCGACAAGATCTAAGCCATGGACAAATTCGATTCGGGAAACTCTAGCAAGGGCGACCTGAGCGACAGAGGTGAAGGGTGCAGCGATGCAGACCATGAGACGCAGGAGAGGCTGAAGAAAACGACGGCGACATAGGCGATGACGGCGAGGAGGGCGGATACGGCTAGGGCAGGGACAACGAGGACAAAAATGGCAATAATAGCAAGGCCTTTTATTGTTTTAATGGGTCATTTTGCCAGTGGAAGAGAGAGAAGATTAGAGAGAAAAGAGGAGAAAAATGGCTGAAATGGATAGACGATTCGGTTCCTCCCTAAATACCGCACACCAAGGCTGAGATCAAGTGTTCACATACCCAAAATGCCCTTCTAATAAATCAACCCTTAGATTTATGGAAAATGAAGGAAAGAAGATGTTTTTGGTTATTACGGTGCTAACTTAATGAATGGTTAGCATCCAATCGCATCCTATAAAGAATATGGTAAAAACTCAATGCACACATCATACCACTATCATATCATTATGATATAATGACAATAGGATGATATAACGGTACTATGATGTCATCAAATTATTTTGATAAAAATTAGACCTCATAACAATATATGTCACTATTATACCATCATTATATCACTATGGCTGGTATACCGGTAATCAGCTAACCAGTTAATGATATACCAGTTTTTAACAAGTTAACAGAATACCGGATAGCCGATAACTGGTTACCGTGACATACCGCCAACGAAGGGAAAAGCAGAAGAGTTGTTTCCACCATGCCTTCCATTTTCGTGGTTCAGTCTTTGCTACCCTTCCAAATTCCCATCACCTTTGGCTGCAATTAATGGTATCAATAGTGGTTATGTTTCTTCTTTGAAGAGAAGAGAAGAGTTGCTAACTAATTAATCATCATAGCATCTCTGATTCCGCCGCGCCACCTCCCTCCTCCTCTTGGATTCCCGCTGCCAATTTAATGACAACTCCATCACATCACCTTCAATCTCACACGAAAACTAGAATAAATTCGCTCCGTCATCAATTGGGAGATACTTTCGGCGCCGCAGTGACCGCCATCGGTGCTAGTTGGGGTCTCTGGTCTCTAGGGATGGCAATGGGCGGGTTTGGGGCGGATTTGCCTAAACCATCCCCATACCCGCTATCAAATATCTATACCCATACCCATGCGGGGAAGGTTTTGCACACCCATCCCCATACCCGTGGGTTTCGGGTACCCATGAGTAATACCCGCCCCGTACATCTGACATTATAATACCTAAAATTTTAAATGTACATTCTCAATTATAACATTAAATGCACCTACTATCGTGAAGTTGACAAAAAGACTATAATTCTTTATATGATTCAAAGCATCTTATTCTAAACAATTCATTAATTCATAAGATAGAGTACAATATAATGTAATACCAATCATTCTTCTCTGATTCTGATACATCTACTAACTAATAACAAACTAACATAATCTAGTAAACACGAGGGGAAAAGTGAAATAGTGAAGGGAGAGTTGACGAAAAGGAATTATGTTTTGATTTGGGTGTCACTCAATTGCATTTCTAATATTTATTTTCTTGAGGTACCCTCACTATCATTCATATATCACAATTTTATTCATATATTTTTTCTATGTGAAGAAATGTTCTTAGTGGGGCAGGTATGGGGCGGGGGAGGCTAAAACCATACCCGCCCCATACCCATCAAACATTTTGCGGGTTTTACCCATACCCGCCCCATACCCAGTCAATGCGGGGATTCCCCGCATTGACTGGGTCGGGGGCGGTCGGATACCCGCGGCCATGGGTTTGATTGCCATCCCTACTGGTCTCGTCATCGATTCGTGCTCCCGCCGCTGCTGCTGCGTCGTGCCGCCGTGTTTCTGATCGTTGTCCACCGCTTTGTTAGTCGAGAGGGAGAAGATGGAAAGGTTAGGTGCATCGTGGACAAGTCGAGGTTGGTGAGGTCCAGTGGCGGACCTAGGTTCGACACACCCTCGCCCGGAAATTTTGTTAAGTACCTATATATTTATGTACAAATTTTTTTAATTCGAGACTTCCGACGCACCTTAAACAATTGTGAGCGACACACCTTTATTATACGAGGATGATTTTCTTGTTATAAAGTTATTTATCTTAATTAGTAATACACAAAAATAAGTAAATTCAAATAAGTATGCTTGTTCTAGAGTAACTCACACCACAATCTAGGGATGACAATAGGGTGGGTTTGCCTAAACCAACCTCATCCACATTTCCAAATACCCGCCTCCTACCCATGCAGTGGAAGGTCTTACAAACTCATCCCATACCCGCGGTTTTCGAATACCCATGGGTAATACCACCCCAACAACTACTCACCATTAAAAAAAGAATATGGTGACAAATATGAATACTACCCACCGAAAATTATGGAACTAATACATAAGAGGATGAAATTACGGTTTGGTTGCCATCAATTGCATTTTAAAACTTTATTTTTTCTTTTAATTACCCTTCATTCGATTAATAAGTTACAATACACTCCTTATATTTTATGTATATAACATAATATCCTTGGTGGGGCGGGTTTGGGTATAGGGTGGGAGAGTCAAAAAATCATACCCGCCTCATACCCATAAAAAATTTTTGGGGTTTTATCCATACCCGCCCCATACAAAGTCAACTAGAGATTCCCGAGTTGACTGGGTCGAAGGCGGTCGGGTACCCGCCCCATCTTTTTCTTTTTGTTTCACAACACAAATAGAAATGGAGGAGACGGGTACAATTTTTATATCCGTTTTATATCCGAAGGCTTACCATATATAACACAAGAGTTCTCCACCGATTCTTTCTAGTCGAGCCTCTCGGTCTGTCATTATACCCCGAGAAGTAGAAAGAATTACAATTCCCATCCCCACCCCCCCCCCCCCCAAAAAAAATTCGAGGAATTTTTTGGGTTAAATTACACGTTTGGTCACTCAAATTATACAAATCTTTCACGTTTGCCACCCGGATTACTTTTCTTTCTTATTCGCCACCAACTTTACGAATCGTTTCACCGTTAGTCACCGACCGTTACATTCTGTTAACTTTGTCCTACGTTGCAGTCAACTATAAAGTTTGACTATTAACTAGATGACGTGGACATTAAAAAAATTAAAAAATATATTTTCCACTCATCATCCCACTTACTATATCTATATATTTATCATATTAATTATTTAATAAAAAATTAATAAATTATATGTTCTTGGCCTCCGTTTAGCCAACGCAAGCGCAATGCTGGTGTAATTCTTCGCCTCTGCGGCACGGGCGTACACCGCCATGCCTCCCCCGACGCCCTGGACGCCTTTCGTGCAGGTCTCCTCGTTCGTCAGCGCGACACTCATCCACGTCTGCACGTTGCTCATCTGGAAGCGGAACGCCTCCCCCGACGCCCTCGTCGCGCCTCGTTGCCGCATCTGCTTCAAGGAGCCGCAAATCTCCTCCGCGGCGTTGTCGAGGTTGGAGAGGCAGTCGTGGAGGGTAGAGGCGGCGCGCAAGTCGGTGTTGGAGCAGTGGGAGAGGGAGGCGTATAACAGACGTCTGGCGTGGCGTTGCAGCTGGAGCGGGTGTAGGCGGCGTTCCATTTGTCGGCGACTGTCTGCTGGTGTTTGATATCTCCGTCGCCAAAGCAAGCAAGCAGGGGATGTAGAGTTCCATCGTCAACAGGGGTTAGTTTGAGGAAGCAAGGTGAAGACCCTTTGCACAAACTCACACAGTAAGCAAGACATGGAGAAACTCAAAAGCACATGGTGGAGTTGTCCTCGTGGCCGGCGGCTGGGGAGAGGAGGTTTAAAAGGAAGAGGAGTAGTGGGAGTGTGATGATGGTGGTGAGGGTCATGATAAATAAATAAAAATTAATTTTTTATTATATTAATTTTTAATTAATTTTAATTAAATAATTAGTATGAGAAATCCGAAATGATGAGGTGGAAAATAAATTAATTTTTTTTTAATTTTCACGTCATCTAGTTAACGATCAAACTTTGTAGTTGACTGCCACGTAGGACAAAGTTAACGGAGTGTAACGGTCAGTGACTAACGGTGAAACGATTCGTAAAGTTAGTGTCGAATAAGAAAGAAAAGTAATTCGGGGTGGCAAACGTGTAAGATTTGTATAATTTGAGTGACCAAACATTTTATTTAGCCAATTTTTTGATAATTCGAATAGATTCGTAGACCGGGCCGGCTAATCCGTTTTAAATTTAGATTAGCTAGATATGAGCCTTTCCTATTCCTTTTATGTCGTAGAGTTAAAACAAAAAAATTTTTGTTGCCTTTTCGATGTTTCCTGACATTTTCAATAAAACCCTCTCGGAAAAGTATTTTAATAATATTTTCGGTGATGTTCGTAGATGCTATTCGAACGGGTCCTTTTCTATTCATGTCAACGTTTCGTATAGAGGTTATTATGTCAGCAATAGTGTCCCTACCCATGATAAACTAAAATTTAGTTACGCCTCAATTTGATATAATCAACATATTTTTTTTTAATTCACTTAAATAAAATTTTTTACAAATACTATAACTATATGATGGTCTCATCTTAATTGTTTTATTTCAGCTTAGAATACTCGTTCTTATAATACTTCGGGCGCTAATGAAACTATTTTAGTAAAATTTAACTGTCTCAACTCTCGTGCGATCGCACCAAAAATTCGAGTTCCCTTTGGATTTCCTTCCTGATCAATGACAACTGCAGCATTGTCATCATATCGTATTTTCATACCATTGTTGCGTTTGAGTTCTTTACAAGTACGTACAATTACAGCTCTGATCACTTCGGATTTTTCTAAAGGTGAATTTGGTATTGCTTCTTTGATAACAGCAACGATAACGTCACCAATATGAGCATATCGTCGATTACTAGTCCCTATGATTCGTATGCACATCAATTCTCGGGCTCCACTATTATCTGCTACATTCAAACGGGTTTGCGGTTGAATCATATCATTTTTTAATCTGTTATTTCAGTGCAAACGAAAAAAAAAGAAATATTGGTTGTTCAAAACAAAAAAATAAACTTACGATTTTTTCATTCCAAAGGCCTTTCTTTCCTTTGGGTTTCCTTTTCTATCCCGAAAAAATAAATTGAGTTCGTATCGGCATTTTGGACGCTGCGATTGAAATAGCTTTTCGGGCTATATTTTCTCCTACTCCGCCCATTTCATAAAGTATTCTGCCCGGTTTAACGACAGCTACCCAATATTCGGGAGATCCCTTCCCTGAACCCATACGTGTTTCTGTAGGTCTTAGGGTAACGGGTTTGTCGGGAAATATACGTACCCATATTTTTCCACCGCGCCGTGCGTTTCTTGTCATTGCACGTCGGCCTGCTTCTATTTGTCTATATGAAATCCAAGTGGGTTCAAATGCTTGGAGAGCATATCTACCGAAACAAATACGATTGCCTCGATAAGACATTCCTTTCATTCTTCCTCGGGTTAATTGCATGGTTGGTCACTGAGATTACAAAAAACGTTCATGTTTGGTCACTGGAAATATTTAAATCCAATTTTGGTCACTTAAATTATTTAAATGGTTCAAGTTTGGTCACTCTCCGTCCAACTCCGTTAAATTTTTCTGATGTGGCAGTCAACCCTCAAAGTTGACCGTTAACTTAGTGACCTGGCAATTAAAGAAATAATAAATAAAATAAATTTTAATCTTCTAATCATTTTCAACTCATTTTCACAATAAAGTAAAATAAATTAAACAAAAAAAATTATTATAGTTACAAGGACCCAGATAAGGACCGCAGAGATCCGGATTACCTAGAAAGAAAGTGTAGTTAAAGTAGCTAAACTGGCCAGTACCAGGGACTAAACCAGAGAGATTGTTGTAAGAGAAATCAACAGATGTTAGGCTCTGCATAGTGGAAATGGATGGAGGAAGGCTACCGATGAGATTGTTTCTCGATACATTCAGGTAGTTCAAGATCCTGATCGCTGTAATCTCATTCGGAATTTCACCGGAGAGTTGGTTTCGACTCAGATCCACGAACATCAGCAGCTTGCATTGACTGATCTCAGGTGTGATTGGCCCTGGTAACTTGTTGTGGTTGAAATCCATCTTCGAAAGCTGCTGTAGCTTTCCAATATCTGAAGGGATTGAACCCGTGAATTGATTCCCGTCGAGAAGCAACTTCTGAACACTAGAGAAGTTGCCGATAGTCAGAGGCAATGGCCCATAGTGCTCATTGTTGGAGAGAATGATTTGGCCAAGATTCATTGCTACAGCCTCGGTAGTAACGGGAAACTCTTCGGTCAATAAATTGTATTGAAGCTCCACTTGGGTAAGCTCCGATAACCCTAAGAGACCGCTTGGTATGGATCCGTTCAAGAAATTTTCAACATTCGAATTTGACTCAACGATTCCGGGATCGGCCCGAAGAGGAAGTTGCTGAGAGTAATCAGAGTCTATAAGCGATTACCAGTACAGAGATTGGGAAGCAGAATTCCAGTGAGCTTGTTGGAAGAAAGATCCAGAATCGAGAGCCTGTCGTTACTACCCAAACCTTGAGGAATGTTTTCGGTGAAGTTATTCTCCCAGAGCTGCAACACCTCAAGCTGCAACACCTGAAGTTATTCTTCCTCTATGTTGTTTACGGAATCTGGTTCTTTTAGGGTTCTAGTTGATGGGTGTTTTTCAATTCCATCTCTAGTCCAAAACTGGACATGAGAGTTTCCTCTCATCCAGCTCCTCGCGAATGAAATGCTTAAAAAATAGTTATGAGATTGGTAAATAATATAATATACAAAATTATTTCTGTTATAAAAAAATGAAAACGTTGTGTATTTAGTATAAACTTGTATTGTATTTTTTTTCTATTTCTATATAACCATCTATACAATTTATATTATAGATTTATTTTGTAGAGAATTTTTATTTTATTTTAAGGTAGTTTTAGATAATGCCATTTTTGTTGGAATGTTCTAACGAATCTTAGTATTATTATTAATAATATGATACCAGAATGCTTAAAATTCCAAAATTCAATAATATCAAAATACAATAATCTTCCAAGCAAATATTCACTCATTCAATATTGACTTCATTTGTAGAGTTAATCCCTGACGCCGCCAAATAAATGAATTGTCTCTTAGTTCTTTTGCCATCCTGCCTAAAAAATCATTAAGATTTAGAATCTTATGTATTCCCAGGTTCCGTCGTTCCCATCACTTCTCTATTAATGGTTAGGTCTTAATCTACAATGGAGACTTTAAAAAATGAAAAAAATTTAATAAAATTTGTTCTTGACTCAAATTTCTAATTTTTTTATTGGATCGAGGCTCTTGATTTTTTTTATTCTAAAAACGGATTAATTTAATTATAGATCAATCGATATTGATGCTTTATTACATTGGCTTTTAACTTTTATGAGACAACTCATAAAACTTACATATTAGAATCATATATCATTGCTATTCGTTTTCTCTTTTTCTTTCACCCTTCCATTTCTCCGCATAATTTTCGATTTTTGCTTTACAATTCAAAATTGAATTTTTTTTTTTAATGAAAAAAAAAATTTCAGTACTTCTTTTATATCATAAATCTAAATCTATCATATCTGGGCTGTTTCTTTACATCCGGATAATGTGAAGTGATGAATTGCTTATTAGTTTTCTAGTTATTAGTTCATATAGTAACATTATAAGGGTCAACTCTTTTTTTTTCATAAAAAAACTAACGAGTCACACACTAAGCATGGCAATTATAATTAGATCAACTTAGAAATCAATTTTTTTATTCAACCTTATAAAATTGCTCCTTTTTTGCTATGATTCAATAAAACATTTTATCATTTTTTTCTATCAATATATAGGTATAGAATGCAAAGGCAAATTAACTAAGGGTTTACTAGTCCTCGTCTATAAATATCCAAAAAAATTTACCTAATACCCCATAAATAGTTTTGACTGTATAGGAACAATAATCAATATTAGCTCGAATGGTTTGTAAAGGGACCCTACCCTCTCTAATCCATTCAACGCGTCAATCTCTTTTCCGTCAAGACGCCCCCACTTTGTATTTGAATTCCTTTTGTATCTGTCTGTTCTGTTAATTCAATAGCTTTTTTCCTTGCTTTGCGAAATGAAATTCTATTTTTTAATTGTTCGGCTATAAATTCAGCAAGAATATTAAGGTGCATGTAAGGATTTATGATTCTTGTAATAATAATGTTGATCTTTTGGTTCACACAATTCATTTCTTTTTGGATATTCCTTTGTAATTCTTCGAGTTTTCTAGGTTTACCCTCTATTAATAATTTTGGAAATCCCATATATATTATGACCTGAATCACGTCGATTCGTTTTTGAATCTCTATACGTGAAATTCCCTCAACACCAGAAAAAAATTTCATACTTTTTTGTACATAATTCTTGATACAATTTCTTATTTTTTTGATCTTCTTGTAGACCTTCAGAATAAATTTTTGTTGTGCAAACCAAAGAGAATGATGACCTTGAGTTGTACCAAGTCTAAACCCAAGTGGATTTATTTTTTGTCCCATAATCCCTCACCATATATATGAATCATGAAATGTTTTTCTTACCCACCCGCTTTATTAAGCACAATTTTTTTTTTTGTTTTTCTTCATTACAATAAGATTATAATAGCTTTCTAACTCGTACCTGTTATATTTTTCATAGAAAGATTTGTCTGTCAATTCAATACGTATATGACAACTTGGCCTTTTTATCGCATAACTCGGTCGTCGAGCTCGAACTTTTAGTTTTTTTTACAGTATTACCCTCATTGACTTCGGCTTTAGTAATAACTAAATCTTCTTTCTTAAAATCCTTATTGTGATTACCATTTGCTGCGGCAGAATAAAATACTTTCAAAATGGGAAAACATGCTCGATAAGGCATGAGCTCGAATATCATAAGTGTTTCCTCATAGGAACGACCGCGAATCTGCCCTTCGCGCTTTGTGAGCTGACAAAGATATCTGTTGCCCTAAAGCGCTAGTGGCGACAAAACTGCAAGTGCACAGTGTCGTACAAGTAATAAAGTTTAAGTAAAATTATCGTTTTCTAGGGGATTGGTGAAACTCAATAATTAACAAATTTAGTTCAAGAAACTATAGGAATTGCAAAGGTTGTAATCAAGTGATGATTTACAAAGATTGCACAAATTAAGTAACTCGATAAATCAACTATTTTGGAGAAATTGACATTTGAGGGTTCCGGGAGAAACACAAGATTTTACTATTTTACCTCAGTAAATTTAATTACCTTTGTCAATCGATTTAATCCATATTCCTACAATCGGGATACCTACAATTTGATAGCTATCTCTATCGAGAATTACCACGTACTAACTAATTAAGACAATTTCTACTATCATAGTTAACTGAATTTAATTAATTAGCCTTAAGAACGATATCCCTGAAATGACTGCATAATTCCCTATTTAATCCACTATCGCTTCGATAGGCAATTATGTCGTATGAAATGTGTTCGGTTACTAGGTTTTCACTATCGTTATTAACCTAGAAAACTACAAATCATTGTGAAGGTGGCCAATCAACACAAAGCGTTTAACAATTCCACACGATAGAAAATGGAAGAAAAACAAGTCATGATTAAAACATCGAGGCTAGATAATGAAATCCATAAGTTTCCCCCAGAAATTGGGGGATTAGTTCATGATGAAAAGAAAGTACATAAACATGCTAATGTTCAACATGATGACTAACTACCAAAACAAAGGAGTAGAGAAAGTACTAAGTGTTGAAGTTAATCCACAACTCACAAGAGTCTTCCTCTCTTCAAAATGCTCAACTCCAAAGTGTGCCAAAGTGAGCTCTCTCCTTTGATTTTTCTGTCTAAAACTAGTCTCCAAAAGTGTCTCCTTTGCTCTCCTAGTTGATGCCCCTTTTTAAGTTCATCTCTGCAGATTTTTATCCCTCAAAACAAGGAGATTGCAGACCCCATTTCCAAGAGAAGGCTGCTGCCAGCTTAACTCTCTCTCTTTGCAATAAATTCTTGCATAATTTTCTCTATTGGTGAGCCACCAAATCCATTTGCTCACTTCAAGAAATATGATCAAATCCCAATAATTTCTGAGGGCTGCTGATAGTTGAGTGAAGATTCCAACCACAATAATTCGATTTGGGTCTTCATCGGTTTGGCCTCCTACTGGACGTTTGCCTCTGCACATCTGCATTTTGACACTGCACCTGCATTCGGCCACTGCACTTTGTTTTGTTAACAATCTTAGCTTCAATCTGTGTCAAATCGCTACATATCTTGGTAATGACACTAGGGCCATTCCATGGTCAATATAAACTAATTTAGAGCAATTTAAACACATACATACATACATACATACATAAAGATCAATCATTTATGCACAAAATACATATATGTTTATGAAGCTTATCACAACCCCACACTTAGCATTTGCTTGTCCCAAAGCAAAAGAGAGAAATAATTGAAAGAGAAGCAAATAAACATACAACTAAGACTCCTAGGACTCAAATAAAAGACACACTACTCCTAAGACTCGACTAACACCATTGTTGCTTGAGTGACGGTGTGACTAGCTGTGGACCTACTATGCTTTGGTGTAGATATCTATGTATATACAATATCCTCAAATTCAACCTTTCCATGCATACCTAGGCTTGCAAGTTAGATTACACTCCATCACATGATGTACCCTACACCTAGAATAAACACACTAATAGTGGATTGTGCCAAAACTCATTCAAACAAAGAGTAAGGTAAGTTAAGAGTAAAAGCATGGCATCTAGATTTCCTCACTAGGAATGTGTATTTCGCTCAATCACACAAGTGTTTAAGGGTTGGTGTTTACACTCAAGTTTTTCCTTACTAGTGCTTACCTGAATCTTGTTCTTCAACCACAGTTGGACCGATCAATACAAACACAAGCATATCAAGATGACAACGTTTGGGTAATATGTATAAGGTGAGGTTTAAGAAGAGGGAAATGATGACGCTCACGAGGAATGAGTTACAAAGGTGGACCCAAAGCAAGAACTATCTAATATCGAGGCCTTGAACAAATAAAAACAATGCATAACAAAAGCAAAACTAGGACTATACAACAAGGGAAGAACATTGATTCCCAAAGATGATTCATCGATCCTTATTTATTTTCCCCTTTTTTTTTCTTTCTCTTTTACTCTTTTTTTTTTCCTATTGAAATTTGATTTTTTTTTCTTTTTACTGATTTTTTATTTTTATTTTTAGGGGGATGAGACTAAAAGACACTACATTGATGGTCAATACCTCTTTTCTAAGTAGTAGAAGACAAAATGATGCAAAAGGAGGTGCAGTGGCAGAATGCCTATGCAGTGTCAAACTGCATACTGTAGTGGCAAAATGCATCTCTCAGCTATTACTTCAACTACTACCTTAGAACATCAACTTTATTTACAAGACAATGAAAATGAAAATGGGCCACTATATTCACACAAAAGACCTCATTCCTCGTGAGAAGGGTTCAACGGGGGATACAAGAAAAGGGTAAAGGTGAGAGGTGTGATCGAACCGAAAAACAAGGCCATGTCTCAAAGAGGTTGATCCTAGTTGTCAATGATAGGGTAGGCTTTTTGGCTCGAGTTTTACTAATTGTCTCTATCGTTTATGCTTGCATACATACAACACAATCCATTATTCGTGGTTTTGATCAAGATTACCGAAACACAAAGTAATGAAAAACTTCACACAATATGAAATTGACATTGAAGGTTCAAACTCACGGCTACTAGATGCCATACCCTACTCTATACAAATTATACTCAATTTTACCTAAGTTCGGGCACAATTCAATTCTAGTGAGTGAATTTTAATATGAGAGTACACCATGTGAAATAGGCAATCCTACATGCAAACACAAGTTATGCATTTCAAGGTTAACTTGGGATAACCGAGAGGCAGATTCATACACCGAAGCATAATAAGTTCACAAAGCATTCACACAATCATTCCAAGCAATAACATTCTACCCTATCAAGTTCAAGACACAACACATCAAACACAGTGGGAACGACTCACATTCACCAAACATCATGTACAATACATACTCTTAACAAAACTAAAACTCTCCACCCCACACTTAGGATGGAACATTGTCCCTAATGTTCTGTACCTAGACTCTAAACATGCAAACACAAAAATGAAAAAGTAAGCAAAGGGAAAGATGAAAAACCTCGGGACAAATGTTAGGCGGATGAGGTGGGAGGTGGTGGAAGGTCGCTCGGGCAATCAATTCCACTCTTCTTGAGATGCTCGGCCATTTTATGAATAAATTGATGTTGGATGTTGATTTGGTGTTGCTGTTGCTGGTAATTATGATCTTGTTGCTCCAGTTGTTGTTGTAGGTGAGCAATGATGTCCCCCGGGTGAGTGCCTTGTGGCGGGGTGCTTGTGGAATGATTTGGATCAGCTTGGGGAGTCCTTGAAGATGCTCCTGAGGTGCTGGCAGCGGCTGCTAGGATTTCTATTGCACGGGCAGCAGCCAAATCATCTTCTTCTGTTGCCTCCTTGGTCGTGGTTTTCTTCGTCTTGGCTTTTGCTTTCTCTTCCTTGATTTTGTTGAACTAAGGTATCGATACATACCTTCCTCTTGATCTGATTCTTTTTATGTAGTTCATATTGGATAGAGTTCTTTCTTTGATTACTATGGTTCCTATTATGGGACAATCCAAGTACCACATCGGAAATACAAGGGAAGGGACCCTTGTATATAAGTGTCCACCAAGCTCATTAATACGAGGCCTTTTGGGGAGGACACCCAAAAGTAAAACCGTGCGGGCTTGGCCCAAAGCGGACAATATCGTACTAATGGAGCGGCCCAGTTATGATAAGTGGTATCAGAGCCTGGTTGATCTTTGGGTTATTTGAACGGTCTACACGGATTTTGGATCGCGCTGCTGGTTGATGGATTGAGTCAAAATAATTGGCGGAGATCGACACAACTTCTGTTGTATCAGAAGATAGTTTTCGATTTGGGTTGGCGGAGGAATCACTTCAAGTGTTCTCCAATTTTGGTTCGTGGTGGAGTTTGTTTGATAGTAAGAATGGCTGCTATCAGTATGAAGATCGAGAAGTCAATTTGGAGTTGCAGGCTTGGAGTTAGCAGTAAATTTGATGTTGGTGTTATGCACGGAAATAACACCAAGTTGGTTATGCATGGCAAGTCCCAACATGGGTTGGACTTGCTGCATGTTTTGATTTGTTAACCGCCCTTAGGGGGCATTTGGAGGCAGGGGAGATTCTGGTACAGCTGATTTGGAGGAGTTTGGTACGTCTGACAATTTTGATTGCATCTGAGTTTGGCGATTTGCATCGCGTTTGGTTTGGCGATATGAATCGCATTTGGATATGTCTGGCAATCTTGATTGCGTTTGAGTTTGGCGGTTTCGATCGCATTTGGATACGTCTGGCAATATGTATCGCGTCTGGGTACATCTGGCAACTTTGGTTGCGTTTGGTACATCTGGCAACTTTGGTTGCGTCTGGTACATCTGGTATTTGACAGAGAATTCAAGTCAAGGTGGAGATTGTTAGAATATGACTTGAATTTGATTTGGGTTTGTTTTGTGTTTTGGGCCTATTTTGTTTGAGTTTGTGTTTGAGCTTTGTTTGACCTTTTCCTTGTATGTTTGGGAAAAGGTGTTTGGTTTTCTGTTTGGGATTAGGAGAAGAGTTCTATAAATACTCTTCATCACCCTAGTCTGTAGTAAGGTCAGTCAGGTTAGTTTGTTTGGTTTGTCCGTTCGGAATTTGGTTTGTAACATGTACTCTCCTCAAAATCAGTGAAATATGTTATCCTCTGCCCGTGGATTAGCTAGCACACATTGTGTTAGTGAACCACGTTAAATTTGTGTTTGTTCGTGTTGGTTTGGATTATCG